ATATCCATCTACCACCCAAAACGTACTCTCTGCTCCTCACAAGACCACCTACTCTCTAGTTCCCTGGTCTCCTCCTCCCATGCCTGTCTCCAGGACTTCTCCAGAGCTTCCCCCATCCTCTGGAACTCACTACCCCAATCCATCAGACTGTCACCTACTCTCCTCACCTTTAGGCGCACCCTGAAAACTCATCTCTTCAGGCAAGCCTATCCCGCCCTCAGCTAATTGCCGATCTCTTCCACTCTTCCTACCACTCCATCCCCCACAGCTATTTCCTCCTGCACCACTATCCCCTCCCTCCTAGATTGTAAGCTCCAAGGAGCAGGGCCCTCGAACCCCTCGTGTATTGAATTGTATTGTTACTGTACTGTCTCGTGTACTGTCTCCCATTATAATGTACAGCGCTGAGCAAACTGTTGGCGCGATATAAATACTGTATAATAATAATAATGGTGTATATATATTGGACTTTTTATTTGTTTTACTTGCAATGGCAGTGATCAGTGACTTATAGTGGGTCTGGTAGTGTGGAGGGCAATCTGACACTAACTGATACTGGCTGGGAGTTACACTGACATCATCTGTAATAATACTATGCACTGTCATTGTACTAATGACACTGGCTGGGAAGGGGTTAACATCTCTTGGTAATCAAGGTGTCCGTTTTATCATGCAGCGGTAAATGACTGCTGCTCAGTTGTCTGGCATTCTCAGAGGAGACAGCTCTCCTCTGAATGCTGGTTGCTGAATGCCAGGATCGCCGCTGATCTCAGTTTCATAAACGGACACCATAGTGTGTGCCTAACAAGTGTTAATGTGTGTAATATGTGCTGCTTTTTACTAAATATCGGTGTGTTCCTTCTACCCTGCTTTGCAGGGAGAAGAAACAAACTGATTGTTCCCTCAGTACAGAGCCCTATGTGTTTGCCAACACAGGGCTCTGGGCTGTGATTGGACACAGCTGATCAGCAGGTCTTAGCCATGAATCATTTGCTGTTCTTGTGCCTGTACAAACCACAGTAAAATTCGGGCATGATAAGCCAGGGCATGATCAATTAGCCAGAGGTCAGTTTGACAGACCTTTATGCAGAGCATGAACAGACAGGCTAATGTGTTAAGGCATGGACTGAATGTCCAGCAGTCTACTTTAGCCTTTCTGATTAGGGCATGTGTTCACTGCAGTCCTAAGCCTACAGTGCTGAGTAATGACCAGCAAATACTGAAGCCTCAAGACTGGTGAATACAGAGATATACTAGGTGGCCGTCACTCCTAAACATTAGGCCAAAAGTATGTGGACACCCCTCGAAATCAAGTTTAGGTGTCTCCAGTCAAGGGCATTGTCCATGCTACAGCATACAAAGACACTTCAGACAGTTGTGCTTTCCCAACCATGGCAACAGGCTTGGAAAGTCCCTTTACAGTTTCATAATAACTGTACACCAAGCCATGTGCATAAAGATTGTGGCCAAATAGGTTTGGTGTAGAGGAATTTGGGAGGCTTACACAGACCCCCTATGTTAACCCTACTGGGCACCTTTTAAGATGAATTGGAACATCGATTGGGGGCCCAACCTCCATATCTGACCTCAGAAATACTTCCTTTGACTGAATGGGCACAAATTTCCACAAACTCCAAAATTTTGTGGAATGCATTTGCAGAGGAGTGAAGGCTGTTCTAAGAGGAAGAGGCAAAGGGGAATGGGGCAGCTCTATCGGGACTTCTTTCCCCACGTTTTTAAATGAATGGGCAGCTGTGCCTGCGATGGGCTTGTGGAAATGCACACGCATAGCCCACACAGTGTGAACCTACTCTTACAGAATATTTATTATAAACCAATTGTATACCTATACTGCAAGGCGTGGTTCACATCTGTGCTTATTTTAGAGCATTTCCAGAAGTGCATGAATGCAAGACAATCAATTTACATGGTTTTCTATGGGTCCTGTTGACATCTATGCAGTTTTCTGCAGTGTGTTTTTGGAAGAGGTGCAGGCACTTTTTTGGTGCAGGAAGGTACGAATTTGACCCTACAGACTTCAATGGAAGCGCATGAAAAACACATGTACATGCATTTTTGGTAAGGTTTTGTGTTTAGCAACCGGTTTCCTCCTACAAATGAATATGAATGAAGCATAAAACTGCATAAAAAATGTGTTTGTATCTATACAAGAGGGAAACTGTATGGTGATACGGAGGCAAATCTGTCAGGGTCAAGTCTTGCAGAATATCCTTTCACCAGTGAAGTCCAAAGCCAACAGGTTGAGCAGCTTTTCAGCAATGCAATACAGTGACCTCCCTCCATTTCTATAACTTTGTTTTATATTTTACCAGCAAGGAATTTTTATACTTTTAGATGTGACCTAGATCTAGGATTGTATATAACATACAGTTGTGTTCAAAATAATAGCAGTATGTTGAAAAAAGTGAATAAAGCTCAAAATCCTTCTAATAGCTTTTATTTCCATAGACAAATGCATTGGGAACACTACACATTCTATTCCAAATCAAAACATGAAGAAAAATAGATCAAATTTGTGTTGTTCCTCTAAAAAAAAATTGAAGAAAAGTGAATATTAGACTGTTCAAAAAAAAATAGCAGTGTTTATATTCTTCTTTACAAACTCAAACATTCACTATATAAACTGAAAAATGTTTGAAGATTTTGCTTTCCTTTGAATCACTTAATGAATATTTAGTTGTATAAGCACTGTTTCTGAGAACTGCTGTACATCTGTGTTGCATGGAGTCACCCAACTTCTGGCACCTGTGATCAGGTATTCCAGTCCAGGATGATTGGACTACATTCCACAGTTCTTCTCTATTGCTTGGTTTTGCCTCAGAAACTGCATTTTTGATGTCACCCCACAAGTTTTCTATTGGATTAAGATCCGGGGATTGGGCCGGCCACTTCATAACGTCAATCTTGTTGGTCTGGAACCAAGATGTTGCACGTTTACTGGTGTGTTTGGGGTCGTTGTCTTGTTGACCCATTTCAAGGGCATTTCCTCTTCAGCATAAGGCAGCATGACCTCTTCAAGTATTCTGATGTATTCAAACTGATCCATGATCCCTGGTATGTGATAAATAGGCCCAACACCGTAGTATGAGAAACATCCCCATATCATGATGCTTGCACCACCATGCTTCACTGTCTTCACAGTGTACTGTGGCTTGAATTCAGTGTTTGGGGGTCGTCTGACAAACTGTCTCCGGCCACTAGACCCAAAAAGAACAATCTTACTTTCATCAGTCCACAAAATGTTGCGCCATTTCTCTTTAGGCCAGTCAATGTGCTCTTTGGCAAATTGTAACCTCTTCAGCACGTCTTTTTTTTCAACAGTGGGACTTTGCGGGGGCTTCTTGCAGATAGCTTGGCTTCACATAGGCGTCTTCTAATTGTAACAGTACTCACAGGGAACGTCACACCTTCTTTGATCTCCCTGGAGCTGATTGTTAGCGGAGTCCTTGCCATTTTGGCTATTCTATCCATTCGAATGGTAGTTTTTCGCTTTCTTCCACGTCTTTTAGGTTTTGGTTGCCATTTTAAAGCATTTGCGATCATTTTAGCTGAGCAGCCTATCATTTTCTGCACTTCTTTGTATGTTTTTCCCTCTCCAATCAACTTTTTAATCAAGGTACGCTGTTCTTCTGAACAATGTCTGGAATGACCCATTTTCCTCATAATTTCAGAGAGAAATACACTGTAACCAGCATGTACAACATTTGCTGCCTTCCTTCCTTAAATAAGGGCAATAATTGCCACCTGTTTTTCAAAGAATGAATAACCTCACTAATAGAACTCCACACGGCTATTATTTTGAACATGCCCCTTTCAATGAGTGATTCAATGACACAGAATCAGCAGCATGCATGTCATGACTGTTGGATTTCTATTCCTCTGCTACACCTGCTAGTAAATTATTTGCCATGTAGAAATATAATTTCTACCAAAAACAGTGATTGATCAGGTTAGTGATGTCTGACTGCTATTATTTTGAACACAACTGTATATAGTGGAATCCGGATCTCTTTTCTCCTGACCACCAAAAACACCTTTGCTATCCCAATCTGTAAAAGACTATGGTCACCAATAACCATTTCTACCAAAAACAGTGATTGATCAGGTTAGTGATGTCTGACTGCTATTATTTTGAACACAACTGTATGTTTAATATTGTATAATCATATTATATTTAATTCCGGTATTGCACAGTTGCATACATGACATATGTATTGATATGTTTGGGTGTGTTGTAATAAATGATCAGGTTGTCTATGCCTTGGGCAGGAGTGTATTGTGTGTATTATTGGCACAGGTAAAGGTAAGTGTGGCAAGTGTAAAGTGGATCAGTAACAATTTGAGATGGAGCTGTGTGTCTGCAGTATTGCACAGGTACACACCTCTTTACCAGCATCTGTAATTACCGCCTGCTCTAATGAGTCACTAATCTGCAATATAATTAGCAGGGAGAGGCAGATCAGGACTGATGGCCAGCCGATGACGCACTGCCTTATACAATGTCTGTGAACAGAGGGACACCTTGTGGTGAAAGACACGGAAAAAAATGTTTGGAATATTTAGGGCCAATTCACACTGACTTGTGCTAATATGCATGTAAATTTCTATTTATTTTAGTGGCGTTTTAACGTATGATGACAGCAGTTGACATACATTTTGACGTCTGTTGACATAATTTTACTCAATGCAATGCAACGTTATGGTGTGAATAGGATACATTAGAAATCAGTGCTCTTAAGATGTCCTGCCATTGATCTACGTTTTACAGCTCTGCTAAACTGCACGGGGGTGAATTGGCCCTTAGAGATTTTAAAAAGACCTTGGATCAAAATACCATTGTCTGCTTATTCAGTAAAGGCCTCCCTCCCCCATTTTAGTTTGCTGAATTAAACTGTCAAAAATCACCCGTAGGGGAGGGGGGAGGAGGCAATAAGCCCTGGTTCATATATAGTATACGCGGCCGTACGGGCACGAGAACACATTCATTTGAATGGACTCCCATGGTACGCAGGGAAGAAGTCTCTGAACTTCTTTTGAAAATGCAGCCCGCACAGGAACCTCGGTTCCCAGTACGGTTGCGTTTTCTAGTGTGGGCGGCATGCCATTAGAATTAATGGCACCCGCCCACGGGTCCGCATTCCTCTGTGCGGGTGGTGCGGCTGCTCGGATTTTCGTACGGATCTGCAGCGGCACCACCTCCACAGATGTGAACCAAGGGTTAGTGAATATACTTACCCGCTTTTCACCTGTGGTATGTAGGCAAGGGTGACATTACCAACTTTCCTGCAAGATTTCGGGGAATTCTGGAATGAACTTTGCAACATAGCATCATCTTGCAAGGTACTCTGCATTCCTGGGGGTCTCATTGGAAGGATGGTGATGTCACCCACTGCAGTATGGAAGCTGGAGGAAAGAAGTATATCGACCCCCACCAAAGTATTCTTTTGATAATTAAAATGTTGCTAAACCCAGGACCCTGCATTCACACTATCTGGTCTCCCACAGAACATGGAAATGCAATTATTTTAGTAAATATAAACTGATACCTTTTTTCATCAGCAGATAGTAGTCTTGTGACTTCTATCAGTGTTCAGTAGAGCACAGGTTAACCACCTGTCCTCCAGAAGATTTACGCCCCCCCTCCTTCCTGACCAGGCTATTCTTTTGTGATACAGCGCTGCGTTACTTTAACTGACAATTGCGTGGTCATGCAACACTGCACCCAAATGACATTTACGTCCTTTTTTCCCCACAAATAGAGCTTTTTTTCAGTGTTCTTTGATCAACTCTGGGGGTTTTTTTTTAATTTTTTTGTACTATAAACAAAAAAAAATGGACAATTTTGAAAAAAAAAACCCAATATTTTTGACTTTTTGCTATAAAACATCCAATAAAAAAACTAAATTTCTTCATAAATTTAGGCCAAAATGTATCCTGCTACATGTCTTTGCTAAAACATTAAAAAAAGTCCCAAGAAGTGTATATTAATTGGTTTATGTGAAAGTTTTATAGCGTCTACAAATGGCGGTATATATACAGGGATTTTATACTAGTAATGCAAGCGATCAGCGGGACTGTGGCGGCCATTCTGACACTGGGGGGAACTGACTAACTGCCACTGACATCTCCAGTGACACTAATACAGTGATCAGTTATAATAAAAAGCACTGACACTGTACTAATGACACTGGGCAGGTAGGGGTTAACATCTGGGGCGATCAAAGGCCTTAACAGTGTTCTCTGTGTGTTTTACTTGGGAGACATGCTGTGCAGACAGATACAAGGCAGCTTGTCCATGCTGACAGGAGAGAGATCTTTGTTGTTTACACACAGATCTCTCCCTTCACAGCTCTGCCAACCACCCAGTGATTGACCTCCCCCCTAACTGAAAATGCAAAATCAAGTATATTTACATGATTTTGCACAGCAGAGTCACTCTGTAGCAGTATATCTGCTATGGAGGGGCTCTTAAGTGGTTAAAGCTTATAGGAGGCATTTTCATTCTGATCTAGGAAGGTGCAGGACCCCTGCCCTCTGTCTGGACCGTTCCAATTGACCCTGTGCTGATCAAATGCACTCTCCCAAGAAAAAAACAAAAAGCCTAGCAATACAAACCAAACTGAGCATGTGCAGAGGGACGCCACACAATGGCAGCAGATAAGAGGGGGGCACTGGAAGAAGGGGTGGATCAGAGAAATCAGGATCAAACCGCCTTTTTACACAATGCAGAGGATTAACCCCTTAGGTTTCACAGTGAGTGTAACAAGCATGCTTTATTGCATATAAAGACTGATTTTACTGTTGTGGGTTTAGTAACACTTTAAGTGGGTTAACATGAGCGAGGGAGTGGACCCTCGCCGAATAAGCAGACCTTGCATGAAGTGTGAAGTCCCCTTTAGGGTGACCCTGTGCTTTGCCCATGGAGGTGTTGAAGTCTATATCTTGAGTTCAGTGTGAAAATTCCCTAATTTGGTGAAGAATAAAGATGGGGGGGCATTTCTACTATGAGAGGTCAGTTAAAGCTGACCTATGGGGAAGCAAATATTATCTATGAAGAGGCATGCATTATCTTACGGCAGTCTTGGTACGCTTTGTGTATTTTTTTCCAGATCTGTGTAGTAAGCCAGGGTGAAACTACAAGAGCTTCCTGTAATAGGCTGGTTGCTGCGGCTCTCTGTCCTTCTTCAGGGTGACTGGTCTTGTCTCCACCCTCTCCTGTCGTATTCTGCAGGCAGTCTGTAGTGGGTGGAGCCTGATGGGTCCCACCCACAGCTCTGTTCTCTGCACAGGCTATGTACTGCACAGCAATGACGTTGTACTACATTTGCGAGGTAATATCTGTGTAGCTTCCTCCTAGATATGTTGCTAGAAATGTTAGGTAAATTTGGTTCTTTTTGTCTCCCCCTGTAATCAGTGGAGCAGTTTGTGATAGCTTTGGGCTGTTCTAGGCTTCACTGGCAGCAGGTTTGACTGTTTCCCCCTGACTCCTAAAGGATTTTAGAATGTAGTGGGTTAGAAAGACAGATACGCAGTTTGAATATTTCTCATCGCATCCAATCCATGGGGAACCCTGCCCAGTAGGTGGCTGAGGAGTGCATAAATAGTTTGGCGCTGAGGCAGCCGGGTTCTACTCCAGGAGAAGTTCCCAGCCTGAAGGGCTGGTGCTCTTTTGGGTAGTGCAGCTGAAGTTCTTACAGGAGTTGAGTTCTCAGCTATGCTAGAGCCGGGGACAGGGGCGGACTGACAACTCATGGGGCCCCCGGGCAATAGGGGATCATGGGGCCCTTGTGTCCTTGCCCAAACTCAAAAAAGCCTATGAAAAAGGTACCAGGAGCATCTCATGGGGCCCCCTACTGACCCCTGGGCCCTCGGGCAGTGCCAGTTTCCAAATGGTCAGTCCGTCCCTGTCCGGGGATCTACTTTTCTGCAAATAGCTAGAGCTGATCAAGGAATTTCATTGAGGATCTGGTCTGGAGAGTTCATGAGAGAAATGTCTGTCTGATATTGAAAGGAGTCATCCGAGTATCTAGGGACATTGTCAATACAGACCTAAGTATAGGATCCTAGTGCCTGTATACTACTGTTCTTCCTTGTGCATCAATGCCAGTTATTTGGATTGGGACATTTCTTATGGTGTCTTGGTGCTGCTCATTCCCTTAGCTGCTACTAGAGAGACTGTGAAGCTTTGATAAAGTGAAGAGTGTCCTCTTATTGTACGGTGTTACCGGAGTATTCCTCAGCCATCTTGCACCCTATCCAAGTTTTTGTAGCGATAAATCTGAAAAAGACAAACTCCTGGACTGTTCATTGAGCAGAAAGTGTGACTGTTGCTGTGTGCTTGGCTGCGCTACACCAACTTGGGGAAAGAGCTTGGGGCAATCAGCAGGCCTTCTCAAGGGTGAGCGCGCTACATCTGCGTTTTACAAGGGTGGAGGAATCTGCAGTACGTGGTTACCTGGTGAAAAAGCTGGCTGTGTTCTTTGTGGGTTGCCAGCAGTCTTCTCCCTTTACATTCTGTTCAGGAAAGTTTGTGTAACCCTGTTTACAAAATGGAGTTCCCGGTAGAGGCTGGAAAGGTGTCTGCACAAATGAATGGGTCAGTTTTCGGTATGCAGGATAACCCTACATGGGAAAGCACACATGGTGTGTCATTTCTCATAAGTATCAGATTGCAATCAATATAAATGTGGAAATATAATACAGTGCTTTGTTATCCCTGACTATCGTTTCCACAATGCTGCAGCTGTAAGATTGCTAACCCCTCCTTTATCAGGACTGTATTATTCCTGGTGAGGGGGGGCTGTAGAATCTTGCAGGTCTACGATAAGAGTTATGGGCTCATTATGCCGATAATCACAAATGGTGAATTTGTTATTGACAGAGAAGAGTCATGGTCTGCGTAGGTCTGTTTCTCTAAAGCTGGCCATACACAGCTCAAATTTTCACCGATTCCTGTAAGTCAGCCAAAATATGAGCCGTTGGTGGCCCTGATGACATCGCATGCCTCAACAAGCTTCAATTGGGAAATCAAAGGAACTTGATGGGAAAAAGTCGCCTGGACACAGACTGCAGCCAGTCAGAGTCAGTTAATGGGTGGGTATTCTGATGGGTGCTGGCTGTCAGAATACCACGCCTGGTAGGTGAGATTTTTCCATCTGCACTGTTTAGCATGAATGGGAGAATCCCTGGATTTCTTTTGTTCAACTCATCTTAAGTCTGCACCCAAACTGCTATGCAAATCTGAACCCCACTTGGCAGGCTGGATTATCTGCCATTATTCACTATGATCTGCTAAAATAGTCTTTTAGACCCCTCATCCCATGTTTTTCCATGTTGCTCTGTCCTCCCTTACTAACCTCACTGTACCTCCAGTACATTAAAGAGCAAATGGACAATCAGTTACTATGTTGATGGTACAGCACCAGCAGTGCAATCTGAAGTCCCCTTTCATTGATCTAATTGTAGGAAGATTGTTTGCTCTGAACCAGCCCTTCTCAACCAGGGTTCTTCCAGAGGTTGCTAGGAGTACCTTGAGAAGTGATCAATTTCCGTCTCTTGGACAAGTAACCTCAGACACCAATTATCTATTTAGTTATCTTTAAAGGGGGATTCTTCCCAGTGACCACAAATGAGGAGAGCTGTTCCCACTGACGGTCACCCTAATGTACTGAGCTGTACATAAAAGTAGTTATTAGCAGGGTGTCCCTGAGCCAGGAGAGTTATATCAAGGGATCCTCCATGTTAAGATGGCCATAGATGGATTGAAATTCGGCCAGTAGAGCAGGGAGCAGAAGAATTTCAATCCATCTATGACCTTTCCTTTTCATGAGAAGTCAATATAATGATCAGCTTCTCAAAAATGGGCCTGTTGGAAAATGTGTGTTCAATCAGCAATGCTGCTTATTTTCATGAGTTCACAGAAAATTCAGAAGCTAGAAACCTAGTGAGGAAGGCGTGGTTGGATCAACTTCTCCATCTACTACTTCTAGACCTGCGCTTGAGATAAGCAGACTGAGGAATAATATGAGGCTTTAACGATACAACTTCATGAACCAAATGTGCTGTGGTACAGACTAGCAATACTTCGCATTTCTCACAATCATTCATACTTTCATGTTTATTATATCAGGTGACTTCTGGTTTAGGTTTCTTGAAACAAGATCCAGAATAGAGTACTGCATCTTCATCTTGATCAAGTGTTTGTAATCCCCATGGACAATTCTGAGGAACCTCTATTGGCTTTTTCATCAACTGAGGAAATACTTAGATCTGTGTAGAGGGAAATTAGGATTAGAGCTATATAGAGTCATGT